TTTATGTAGTATTATTTTAAATGTTAAAAAATTTAATTATAGTACGGAATCGAACCGAACGGAACCGAACCGAACCGAACCGAAACCGAACGGTTCCAAAATTATATTTGGAACCGATGGTTCCATTTACTAAATACCCGAAAATTTCTGGAACCGAAAAAAATCGAACCGAACCGAACCGAACCGACCCGCGCCCACCCCTAATAAAATCTCCGAAAGAATTACTGTTGCATTGAGAAGAAGCTTGCTGGGCATCTCCTTTAACAATTGACATTTAGGCCTTGTTTGATTGGCTAATCTTTTCCATGGAAAATGGAATTCAAATTCCATCTCCAACTTTTAGCTTGTTTGATGCAATTTTTTTCCATGGAATTCATTTTCTTGCTCTCGTCTCCCTTGGCTTTGTGGAAAATCAATTTCCACCATTGGTGTAAATTGGTTTTCCAGGTTACGCCTTTTTTTTTTCAATTGAAAAAAATTCTAGACAGAAGATAAAAATATTTATCACTTTTATTGACAAATTTCATGTTAAACAAAGTTGTAAATTATCATTTTAATGGACAATTTTCATGAAAAACGAAATCAAACGGACACCAAACTTTCAACATTTTTCAGGTGGAAAATTATACCAATCAAATACGATTAATTACAATTCTCAGTAAAACAAATTATAGGCAATTCAATTTCCTATTATTCATTTTCTTTCCACCCAAATTTCACATTTGCAATTAACCCTTAGTGCAAAGTGTTGCAAAGTTTGTAAAATGAATCTTGGCTGCAAATATGTTGGAGGAATAGCATAAAGAAAATGTATTGCATTGTCGGTCTTAACGTGGCTCGTGGTTGCTGGCAAAGAAATAGCTTATGCTTATTTTTCAGATAACACCACCCTTCAAAGATCATATATATTCATCGTGGAACGATATTTAATTTTCTTTTAAAAATTCAGAACTAAATATTTAATTCTAAATTTCTTTACAAAAAAATCATTTTTTTAGTTTCATTATCTATCCCGCTACTCTATACAATAATATCGCCAAATTCTAATAGTGACTTAATTAGAACAATTTTAAAGTTTGGTGACTAAAGTGACACGATTTTTTAGTTTCTGGCACTGTATATAAGCTAGCCCTAATTTTGGTCTCGGCACTTCCACAAAAAGGGTTTCTTCTCTATCTCTATGCACTGGTAAAATGGGTATTGAACAAGATGGAAGAGAAGTGATATTCAGAGATATTAGGAGATATTATTGTGAATACTGTGGGATTTGTCGCTCTAAAAAATCCCTCATCTCTTCTCATATCCTCCTTCAACATAAGGTATGTAAGTGTGCGAGTGTATATTAATTTTTCTTTTCATATAATTGGTGTATATTTACTTTGGAATGGATGATTTACAAGCGACGAATCACTTGGTACAAACAACATATTCCACCGTGTCCCAAATGTTTTGCAGCGGATCATATATACACACACGCGGGGATTTTAATTGGTTATTGGTTCGTTGAAATTTCTATTGGAAATTCAGATTTTTTGTGAATATAAGAAGAAATGAATCTCATAGTGTAACTTTTTTTGTAACTTTTTTTTTTTCAAGTTACATGGACTTGGAATTTAAGTGGTGGTTGGTTTGGGGAATTGACGTCAGAATTCAATCTTTAAGCGAATT